CCTGTGAGCCACTCTTGGGAACTGGAGGAGACGGAAGGGCTCTTTGCTCCTTCTGAAAGAAACCCTGCCCCCCCCCCCCGTCCCCGGCAGGCACCCTCTTCCTGTGGGTCTTCTGGCCCAGCTTCAACTCGGCTGTGACCGCCCACGGGGATGACCAGCAACGGACAGTGATGAACACCTACTTCTCCCTGGCGTCCAGCACCTTGGCCACCTTCGCCATCTCTGCCCTGGTGAACCACGGAGGCCAGCTGGACATGGTGAGGCGGCCCTTGTCCCCAGGCAGTTCCAGAGAGGGAGGGTCTGATTTGTACCCCCAGATGTTGGGGGGCAGGACTGCAAAACCACCTGCTTTGCCAGGGTCTGCAACGGCTCCTCTGCTTTAAAAGCCATGGGGGGATCTCTTCCATTACACTAATTGATGTTTTCTGTGGGTCACTCAAGGGAGCCACTGCAGGGGTCCTAGGCCAGGTTTGCGGCAGGCCCAGGGTGGCTCCTGAGCCCCTCCAAATGTTGCCTCCAAATCGCAATTAACTACAGGGAGCATCACTATTATTTTATTCCACCTATTTTATTCCTCCGACCAAGGGTAGCCATGTCCACTGCCTGGAATGCGTATGCAGTAATCCTGTCTCCTACTTTCCCCTTTTATTATGTTTAATACTGTATTTGATTATTAACTGAATGGAATTTAATTTTAAGGGTAATGTATGCAAAATGAAATTGGAATTCCTCCCCCCAATTCCTCCTGGGTCATTTTCTTCTCTCTGCCCCCTCCCTCCCTCCCTCCCCAGGTTCACATCCAGAATGCCGCCCTGGCTGGCGGAGTGATCGTTGGCACTTCGGCCGAGATGGTGCTGACTCCCTTTGGGGCCCTGATCGCCGGGTGCGTGGCGGGCCTGGTGGCCACCCTCGGCTTCAGGTTCCTCACGGTAGGCCCAGCGCCCGACCCGAGCTTTGCCAAAGCCCCTTGGTGTCTCCTGCAGGAGAGGATTCGGCAGCAGAGCCCAGGAGGGGAGGTGGGCACGGTGCCAGCCAGGAGAGAAGGAGGTCCGGTTCTCAGGCTTCCTACCTTCTTTCTCTCTCTTGCCCAGCCCATCCTGGCTGCCAGGCTGAAGATCCAGGATACTTGCGGAATACACAACCTGCATGGGATGCCCGGCTTGCTCGGTGCCCTCCTTGGAGCCCTGGTGGCCGCTCTAGCAACCCCGGATGCCTATGGAGAGGGGTGAGTGCCACCAGAGTGTGGGGGGGGGGAAGGCAGAGGGTTAGGACTGGGAGGGACGCTGCTTCCCACTCTGGCTCTCCTCCCAAAAGAAGCTTTGCCCAGGCGGTTGGGATCTGCCAGGCTGTGCTGGCTCACGGGGGCCGTCTTGCTCCTGCAGAATGGCCGACGTCTTCCCCCTCGTGGCCGCTGGGCACAGGACCCCCATCAGACAGAGCCTCTTCCAGCTGCTGGGCCTGCTGGTCTCCCTGGGCATGGCCACGGTCGGTGGCAGCCTGGTGGGTGAGTGGGGATGGGGGAGGCAAGCAATCCCGCAGCTCTTTCCACACACACGGACGTTTTCTCGCTTGGGGGTCTCATACAACCTCGGAAGGGGGTGGGATGCAGCCCCAGACCTGAAGGGGCTTGAGAAACAGCCCTGACGTTTTTATTCATTTATGAAATGTCTACGCCACCCATCCCACTGTCATCCGGGCAGCTTACAACATCATAAAAACAAGAATATAAGAACCACAAACCCCATAACATTAACAAAAACTGGGTAAAGTAGAAAGCAATCCCTGAATGGGGTGGAAGTGGGGGTCCGCTAACCGTGGGCCACTCCCTTGGGTGCCAAAACCAGAGGCCGGTTGGAAGGCAATTTTGGGAGACCAAGAGGGTGGGGTGCATTGAGGGGCCTGATGTTCCAAAAGACAGAAGAGAAAAGGTTCTTCTTATGGACCCCCCAGCCAGGTTCTTGGACTGACAAGGTCTGTTGGCATGAAGGATGGGCCATTCTGAAGTGGGACTTCCAGGAAAGCCCCCTCCCCTCCCGCTGCAATGCGGGTCCCCTGCTCTTCTGACTGCTCTCTTCTTTTAGGAGCCATCCTGAAGATGCGAAGCCTTGCGATGCCCCCTGACGCTCTCTGCTTCGAGGATCAAATCTATTGGGAGGTATTTGAAGGCTTCCTCAGGGTCAAACCGGCTGCCCTTTAAGCCACATCAGTGTATTCCCCTGACCCCCCTCCCAGGGGTGGGGGTGGGGAGCTGATTGTTTTATAGCCTGCCTTTCCTCTGGGACCTCAGGGGAAGGGGCCCCCCCCCCCCAATCCCACCCTAAGAAGCTTAGCCAGCACCAGCTATCCCAGAATGTCGCACAGGCGCTTGGTTNAACTGCAGTCAGCTGAAGTAGCCTGCAGTGCTGCATTTAACCACTGCGCCACCTCGGCTCATTCTCCATTCAAGTATTTGCTTTCTAACAGTGGAAGTAATAAAGACCCATCATGTTGCCTTAAACCTCATGACTTTGTCTAATTCAGCTTTGAGGGAGAAGTAAAAGTGAGCAGAATGTAAAGTTCTCACTCACTCTCTATTCTTTATAATCAATTCTACCCTCAAGATGTCCTTTCCTCGAAGATCTTATTTTTAAGTCCAATCAGTCCCTACCTACCTCCATAAAAAATCACGGTGTTGTGTAGAAGAAGTTGAGCATCTGCTTTAAATTCCTCATAACTTCTGTATTTTCCTTCATTTACTTTCTATATAGATTGAAACAGAATTATTTATAACATTCATTAGCGTTGTCTAGCAATCAGAATAAGCACACATGTAAAAGTATGTTTTTAATTACATTTTCTACAGAGTAATTTATGGGACCTTAAAGTTGTGAAATTGTGCAATGTGTAGCTTTAGTTTGCTTCTGGTCTCATCTGCCATCTTAAAGCATTTCCATATAAATAAGACCTAGTAGTCCTTTCAAGTTAGACCTTGTTCTAAGTAACTCATACAAACTGCTTCTAAATAGAAATGAATAAAATGGGATTTCCAAGTGTGGATATTGGGGAGTCTAAAAATGAGATTACCGTATTTTTCAGAGTATAAGACGAACCTTTTTTCCTCAAAAAAGAGGCTGAAAATCTGGGTGAGTCTTATACATCGAATACAGCATTTTTTTGCCTCCCAAAGCCCTGCCCCTTCACCAAAAGGGCCATGCATAGCCTTTAGGAAAACTGGCTGTTTTTTGCTCAATTTTGCTCCCCCCCCCCAGCCCCCAGGAGTACTCTATAAGCCTCCTAAAAGCTATTCATGCCCTTAAAAGAAAACAGGCCCGTTTTTGCAAAAAAAATGGGTCATTTTTTGCTCGTTTTGGGGGGCCTCCACCCCAGGACCACTCTACAAGCCTCCTAAAGGCTATTTGTGCCCTTTAAAAAAAAAAACGGGCAGTTTTTGGGAGGTCTGCAGAATGCAAAACCTTTTTTTTAAAAAAATTGCCTCTTCAAAACCTTGGTGTGTCTTATACTCTGGTGCTGTTTATACTCTGAAAAATACAGTAATCTGAAAACTCCCAATATTCTTCTGTTGCATGTAGCTCTCAACTATATAGGAACATA